AGGGAACTCACCAAGTGTCAGAAAACACAACCCTCTCTATTTCCCTCCATACCCAAATCTCTAAAAAAGGGGCTGCAACGGATCTGATACAGACTGATCCAGATTTGAACACTTCTATGTCGTCACAGAAGTGGCGCTACGGCTATTGGGCCAACTCTCCACCTATCAGGGGAATGTGGGGTTGGGCCACAGCCGGCCATTGCCGCTCGAAAGCGCTGGAGACGCTGTAGTACATATGCCAGGCCTGTAAGTGGCGCTGTAGTCTGCCACAAAAGCAGCGAAGAAGACTTCCCGCCCATAGTTACCATGGTTACCCTTCTGTTTATTCTCCGCTGTGGCTTTTTTTCTCCCTCCCCGAGGCAAGCGTTTGCTCCCGCTGCTTTAATTCAATGCAATCCCTCCCCGTCGAGGCAAGCACTGTAACGGGGCATTTCCACCATGGCGCGGAGCGCGGTTTAAGCGTGCCGTGTCGTGCCGTGCCCGTTTTTGGTTGCGCTTCCACTAGGCCTAGTTCCGGCCCGGGGGTACTTTTTCACCTCTTTTCTGGCCCGACAAAATCGTGGTTCTATCGTGGCCAACAAAGAGGGCTGAGTCGGGCTGAGTTTGCTAAACTAGAGAGAGAATCGCTGGCAAGGGGGCTACAACAACAACAAGATGAACATATTTGACCGTGATTTAATTGTAATACACGTTTCAAAATGATGCCGAAGTAACAACATACTGATACCGGTTAGTAAAAACCATGAATTAATGCTTTGATAAGTCTGCAGACAGACGGCAGGTGAAAAACCTTTTAAAATGCGTGTTTTCTAGATGGAGATTGGCTAAGCTAACGCAATATATGCTCCGACCGTCCACACTCACAACAACGGCCTACAGACATAAATAAACCGGCGACTGTATTCACCATGACACAGGCAGTCTGTGGTTTGTACTTGTTTAACTTTTGTCTAGTTTCTGAACAGATATGAGGAGCTGTGAGCTTGAGTGCTAACAGCACGGCTGTGTTGTTTTTCTGGGGTTCTCATTGAAGATGACGTCACGGCTCCGCCTACACTGCGTTACTATAGTAACCACCCCAGTTCCTAAACTGTAATGGAAGCGCAGCATGAAATGAGCCGGCCCTAACAAGGCCCAACGCGGCCTAGCAGTACCGAGCGAGGCCGAGGCTGACCGTGTAGTGGAAATGCACCATAATTCTCTCCGGTTAGTCCTCCAGCAGATGACAAACACCCACCTCTTCGCCTCTTCCAAGGAACGAGGGGACCGTGCGGCAGAGTTTCAGTTTCAGTTTCTTTCAAGATGTCCGTTAAAGTTTAAATCTTCCGGACAAAATTTGAAAAGTGCCGGTCAAAGGTCTTCTTTGTTATTTATTGAGCTTTAAAACAAATGAATAACGACTCTATATAATAAAACACGGAGGACGGAGATCTCTTTTTCTCCCCCTCTTCTGACAGCCCAGCAGCTGATCAGAGCATGGCTCACCTCTCCTGCAGGTGGTCAGCAGAATCAGACCCGTAGACAGCAAACAGCACATAGAGCGAAATGAGGCATGGCTAAAATGCATGATCTGTTTGGTATTTTGAAAACAGAAACGTATAAATATACCTTATATAGGTATGGCCCTACAATATATCATTTAAATATAGCATGATAGGTCCACTTTAAGCTATCTTTGTTCAGTGATCTGCATAAGGGTGCCTTGTTTAAATTAAAAGGAGCAGACAAAATGAATGTGATTACTGTACATGGAGTTGCGTACAATATTAATTAATATTTAGTTACACTCCAGACAGTTAGATTATTTTGCTTCCATATCATGTCTTCTTTCAGACAAAAGAAAAAATACACATTTAATGTGTAATTTACTAACTTTGTTTGCATCTGTTACATTCCAGAAAACTTTTAATACAGAAAACTGTGGTTTTGTTTCATTTAGTATTGAGGAAGTTTAATGGTGATACATTTTAGTTAAACAAATATTGACCCTATTAAAATGCACGCATCTCTTTATACACCAATTAAAATAAAATAAAATCCACATAAAAATACTTTGTAAATATGTATAACATATCTGAAAATTACACAAAGACATTATGAACAATACTCTGAAAATATGTAACATTTTCTGAATTAAGATGCAAGAGCTCTATAGAAGAAAAATTCAAAACAATTATAAAAATGATATGTTTGAACAAAAACTACAGATCTGAAAACAAGAAAATTACAATAAATGTGAATGCAAATATGTATGTGTAATGTTGCAGTAGAACAAAAATCATAATGGACAATGTTGGAAGTGGAACCATTTCAATGTTGGAGCATGTGAGCCATGTGACCTATGACTTAAAAAACCTCCTGCTTACCCACAAAGCCCTCCATAACCTGGAGTATACCCCCTCTCATCCTCTGCTGGTCTGCTAGCCATCAGAACCCCTCGCGACGCTATAGCTTTTAGCTGCAGTGCTCCCAGACTCTGGAACTCCCTCCTCCCACACATCAGACAGTCTGACACGATCACCACATTCAAATCCCAACTAAAAACCCACCTGTTCAAATCAGCCTACTCACTGTAGTGCTCCCTATCATCTGTTTCTCCTGAATCACTTGTCCCTATCATTTGTGTCCACTTTGACAGTCTCCTCCATGATCGTCTGTCTGTGTTTTTATCATGTTCTGTTGCTTTTACCTCACAAATTGTACTGTGTCCTTGGGTGTCATGAAAGGCGCCTTAAATAAAATGTATTATTATTATTGTGAGCGGTCCAACTAAAAGTAAGGAGGAAGAGGCAGAACATCCAGTGAATCACCAGCGTGGGCATTTATTTACACTATTCCCAATATTCCCAATATTTACAAATATTCAGGTTATATTAATAGTCAGGCCTGCTGGCTACTCATCAATTCTCGCACAATTCAACGCTGTAATACAACCAATCTACCCACCAAACACCCAATCGCACAAAGAACTGCTTTTTATAGAGTGCCACAGTGACGCGTCCTAAAACCCGGAAGTAAGCTGCGCATGGGTTCCTTCGACAAAAAAGCAATGCAATTTCTCCATAGGATTTTGGAAAATAGCTCGAAATAAGGTCTGTGGTTGACACACATTTAAGAGACGGATCACGTTTTGTTCAGTCGGATAATCTCCACATGTCTACCCTACTTTTATAATTTTTGATCGATAGACGCAGCTTACTTCCGGGTTTTAGGCCCCAACATTTAGGAGGTACCATTGACAGGGGTTTTACAGTCAGACATGTGTTCACAACTTATACAGTCTATGGTTCACAATCAAGTGCAAGAGACAAGTTAAACAATAACAAACATCACCCCAAAAATAACTAACATATATTAAATTAACGATATATAATTAATGTCTTAAAGAAACGTTATAATAAACTAAATATAAATGTGATTCCTCATCCCCAAATTCATCCTGCTTGGAAAACCTACCCGGAACAATAAAATAGGGTGTTGTTACCCCGGGGACTCTTTTCAGCGACGGACCGTGGGGCCAGAGACAGGAGAGCAAGTGTTTAGTATGTTATTCTGGTAAGTATTTGTTATTATCTTAGCAAACTTTATTCGTTAAACTACACTTATTGTGAGTCATAGTTTTGAGCAACAAAGAGATTGCTAGCGGCACCAATCAATATGTTTGTTTACAGGGGGGCGAGGCCAATTCAGCCACCTTGCATCAATAACAAACTCTGTTTACCAGTAGATGTAACACGTTCAATAAATGGTTTTAAATCATGACATTGCTTGTTTCGTTATTAGCCTATATAACTACATATATTTTCCTGTGAACAAGAAATGCATACCAAAAGCGTTTATGTATATATGGCGTGAGTTCACAGAGCTACATGTACACATGTAAACATTAGAGTCCTGCAACCAGAGTTTCCCAGGGGACGTGAATGCAGCATTCTGTCCTCGTTTTTATCGGCGATGTTCATCGAGTTGTAAGAAATGACAATGTCCACTAGAGGGCACTGCTGTTATTTAAAACAATGTGATGCATTTAAATTAGTCAAAACATCAAGGCTGTTGTTTTGGGTTTACTGTGATCACACTTCAAATGCACGAGACCTCTTCCCTCAGATTATCCAACCATTATTTTCCTCACGAGTTTATTTGTCTATTTATGTTCTATCCCTTCAACACAATATAACAAATAGGCCTACTGACATTTCTACTGCTTTTTTAAAATAATAATTATTCCATTGAATTTACTTTTTGATAAATATTCTTAATTAATGTGTCAGAGTCAGCTACATGATGTTTCTTTAAAAAATAATGCTGTATGAAGTTTTGCACTCAGTGTTTTCACTGTATCTGCGCGTAAAATCTAATCTAATCTAATCTGATCTGACGTGTCCTTGAAAGCTTCCAGACTCTCACAGACTTTGTGATAAGGAGCACTATATAACTCTGTTTTAGTTTTATGAAAATCGTATTGACATACATCTTCTTTGGTCAACTCTATACACTTCTTAGTAACAGCTCTATACCGCTCAGATATTTTAGTTTTAATGTGTCTTTAAGGAAGGGGCAATATTGCTGACATTGTTTGATTCACTTGTTATCATTTTGTAATCTAAAATAAGTCAACCATTATCCTCTATGGGCTGTGTGGATGGGTTCAGCTCTCGGCCGTTAAAACATCACCAACACAAACTTTCCCACACTGCTGTTTGTGTGTTGTGGCGGTCGGTTGGCTGTAGTGCGCGTCTGTTTTGAGCTGTGTGACATGGGATTGTTTGGGAAGCCCTGCACTGAGCGACCATGTGGGCGTGTTTCTCTCGGCCCAACAGTCTCCGCTCTTGTTTGGAGTCCAGAGCGCAAAACGCACTTCTTCTGGTGCAACCGGAGTGCGCAAAAGTAGCAGTCCTCCGACCCTGACGCGCACACCATCTCCGGCTCCGGCGGCCCCCACGAATCCAACTGCTCTGAGCGGGAATTTAAGAGTTTTTCCTCAATATCTCCCGGTGACTCCCAGCCATGGACGCATATCGACTCGTTACGCTTTATCTGGGCCTGCTCCTTGTTTTCCTTGGGAATATACCGTGTTTCCAGTCTGCTGCTATCATCTCTCCCTCTGCGCCCAGGAGGAACAGGGGAGCCCGGATCTCTCATCGGGACGGACAAAGGTCATCCAAAACCCTAAAAGACATCTTCGCGTCCACGCACCCCATCGTGGGACACCACAAAGAAGACCCAAAGGACTCTATTGTGCCGCATGAATACATGCTCTCCATATACAGGACATACTCGGCTGCAGAGAAGCTCGGACTTAACGCAAGCTTTTTCCGCTCCTCTAAATCTGCCAACACCATAACAAGTTTTGTGGACAGAGGAACAGGTTGGTTTCAGTCACATGCAGCTCTATCAGATCATTTTTTGCATAATTCTGTGGCCTTATTTTATATAATCTTTTGTATAGATATAAACTCCAATCGTGCTTTAAAAGGTTTATAAAAAGCACATTTTAGATTAAGCAAAATGATGTGCAAATGCACTTTTACGCGCATAAAATATCAACAAATCCTAAAAATTATTGTTTAAAAAAAAAAAAATACTTTTGAAAGCTACAGTCTCATATGTTGTCCATGATCAGCTTTGTGATAGTATTCGTAACTTGTTTTCCGCAAAGCCGCCGAAACATGTCACTTTGCCGAGTATTAATTTATATTACGCTTAAATTAACCTCAGGGTAACACGACAGTAAAACACTAATTAAGGCGCTCTCTAAATGAAGGCTGTAAATCACTGTCAGTGCAGGCTGCAGCAATAACTACTCTGCTACCAAACTCCACGAAAATTCATAGGAAACCTTTATTTATTTATAAGAAAACACCATGGTGTATATTTTTTCGATTTCTTTTTAAATGTAACCTTTTAAATTAGCCATATTTTTTCAACACAAACTGAAACTAACCGTAATCCTGCCAATGTTAAAAATATAATCTGTTGCCATCATGGTGCCCACTTTGGGCCCACTTTGGCCAATTTGTGCCGCACAAAGGGAGCTGGGGGCCGTGGCACAGCGGCTCGGGCGGTGTGAGAAGCAGGTGTTTGGGTCAGTTAACATGTGTAACCAAGTGATTAGACTGGCCTGCGAGGACAAACACAATCTGATCAACACAAACACATCCAGCACACACAGGGGGACATAAACCGAGTTAATCTTTGCAGGAGAAATAAAAGCTATCTTTGTTTGCGTTCCCTCAGGTCCGAAACACTCTCAAAACACTGCAAAAAATATCCAAATTAGGATTTATTTAGCGCTAAAATCATATTATCTGGCAACGTGTTGCGTTGAGAGTGCATAGCCAACTGATACAAAAATGTTTTTAGGATTTTTGTCAGTGAAGTTCTTCTTATTGAACTTTTGTGACATTTTGCTACAAAACTGCATTGATTTTGGCTGACTTATGCCATTTTCAGAGTCAACAAATGAAGTTTTTCAGAGTTTTAAAGCTAAAAGACTCTTTCGTGTGGCCACTTCTTGCAGTGTGAACACATTTGATATGAAAACGCCTCACTTTCTCCCGTGATTCTGATGTGATGTGTCACTGACTCTGACCCCGAGCTGGACCCTCTGAGAGCTGCTTGGCATCGAACGGCTGATTGGAGTATTTGAACTCGGTGATCTAATTGAGTGTTCATGTCATAACATATCAAACACTGTCTATTCTCCCATAATGACCCAGCCCGGCCACGATGGGCACATCACCAACAAAACGAAGAGGGAGGGAAAAAAAGAAAGAGCACTTCCTTTGCTGTGAAGTGGTACATTTTTTTAATTTTCTAACTGCGGAACCTCCCTTTGCGACCGCCACTTTAATTACGGAAAATTATTTTTCTTCCCGTTCTCTCAGCTCAAACGCCTTTTGGTTTCTTTTGGGATTCCTCCCAACATCCCCTAAGTGTTGCATTGCATTAACCTGCAGAATGAACCTCAGCTTGTTATTTAAATCTCCTCCATCAAGGAAAAAAAGAAATGCACATGGGTCTCCTGAGGCGTAAAGAAGTAACAGGTTTTACGCATTATTCATCCACGCGGGGACAGGTTTTACGCAGTGCACCTATGATCTATGGATTCTATGGCTTTCACACTTTGTGTAGGAAGACAAAATGTGCTTATAAAACCAGGCAGGGGTGTTTCCTGGGGGTCAGAGAAAATGGCAAGATCAGAAAAAAAAATATGAAAATTAGTTTTGGCACTTTGGGTAACTCATTAAAGCGCAGATGGTGCAGCCCAGTCCTCTCTCTCTCTCTTTCTCTGTGTTAGACGGCAAAAAACATGTTTTGCATTTGTTCAAATACAAGCAACAAGGTCAAACAAGAGTGCACAGGATGCCGGTTTAACCCCCGCAATAAAGAAGTCCACCGTGTTTCTCTCTCCCAATTATCCACCGTCAAGCATCTTACGCGTAATGGAAAAAATTGGCTTTTCTTTTTTTTACATAATAATGAAATTAAGAAAAACCCTCGACATTTTTTTAAACTGTCAACACGAATATCTCTCAATAATTCCAGCAGTGTGTCAGTCGCTCCGTGCAGTTTGGAGGCGAATGTTGTCGTTGGCAGGATGGGATGAAATTTAAGAGGGGAAGTGCTTTAATGAGGAAGTTGGGAATTCAGAACTGTTAATTATTTGGTGAACTTGCATTCGATTTGTTTGAGGTCTTATAAAAAAGGAAAGAAGAATCCTAATGCAGACCATACGCGCAAAGTCACTGAAAGGAGCACGAGGTTTCAATCTGCTTTTATTGTTGGAACTCTGCAGGGTTCACGGAGGGAAACTGACAACTACATTCACATATCTCTTTAGAGAGAGTCCTACAAATTATATCACAGGGTGGTTCAGATGTAGGCATGCCACTTTTATTTTATATATGTATTTATCTTAACGTTTAGATGAAATGGAGACAGTAAGGCGAGACAACATGCTTTTATTTTGCAGAAAAATAGACCACACATCAACTATCTTTTAGGTTTTTGAGGTTTAACCCCTGTGTTTTAATGAGTTGAAAAATCGGACATTTAAAAAGTGAAATTAATTTACATATCCAAACACAAATCAACTTGATAAAGCTTTTTAAAATGTATTTAATGGCATTTCCCCTGACAAATCTTACCAAGGATTCTGCGTTTAATCATGAAACAAAGGGGTTAAATATTTGCGTTTTTCAAAATAGAATATATAATGAGTACATAATACAAAATAACTCGTTTTATTGGATATTAACGGCAGCAAAATCCTATAAAATGTTCATTTATACTTTAATAAACTGCAAGCTGAACCTGCTAAACCTAAATGATTTCGATAAAGCATGTAAAAAATCACCACTTCTTCTTAGTTAAAAGCAGTAAGTGTTATATTCATGTCTCTCTGATGGAATATTCGCAGGCCTGCTGGTGTCCCGCAGGGAATAATGCATTAATTGTGTATTGTTCCCTTGAGTGTACAGTATGTCGCCTTTGGTCCGTTGTGTCTGGCAGCACCCAAGGGCCTTCCCCTTGTTGTTGTTGTTTTTTTCTTTGCTTTACATCTCTGGAAACTCACCACATTTGTGATGTTCTGCCTGCTGCTGGTATTTAAGAGACTTTGCAAAGAAGTAAAAAGTTGACTTCCACTCTGTCAAAGAGCTGGAAATTCATCATCAATCTGTCATCACGTGAAATGAAAGCAGAAGTATTTTCATTAAAACAGGCTGGCTTTGGTTAAAAGTGGCGTTGCATTCAAATGTCGCCAGATTTTATTGGATTATTGTCAATGCGGAATCAAAAACGAATCTTGGCGCTAAAATGGCAGGTGGATACAGAAATATATACACTTTTTGGAACGAGCAAGATTAGATATATCCCTGTATATGTCATGTGTGCTTAGCATTGCAATATTACATGTGCAACAAATGTGCATGAAATGAAATTAAGGAAGTACAATTTTAGAGAGGAAGCCTAGAAGCAAGCTGTGTAAACTAGACCCTCATTTAGCATTATACATAATTAATGTATTTATACTCAAGGGCATTACATTAGCATTTAATCAAATCAAGGCAAATTAAGAGGAACATCTGTGTTTTTAAGGATAATAAAGTTATAATTCGACAGTTCATACCAATAAATAAAAGTGGTGTTAACTTTGATTTCTTTTTTTGCAAACTGAGGACTTGTCATCTGTAGTTTGTTTCAAGAGAGAGAGAAGGCCTCTGTGGGAGAATGTGAGCTCCCCCCCTCCATCCTCTCTGAACACTGTACACCCTAAGTGAATCTGACTGCAATTATTTTCTTCTTTTTATCCTTGCAGACGATCTTTTGCACTCTCCTCTGCGAAGACAAAAGTATCTGTTTGATGTCTCAACCCTTTCAGACAAAGAGGAGCTGGTCGGGGCGGAATTAAGGATATTCCGGAGAGGGCCCGGGGACCTGCAGACTTCCCTGCAGACGGCGGGCCTCTACGACATCCAGCTGTACCCCTGCCGCTCGGACAGGCTGCTGGACTCCCGGGCCCTGGACCCAATGGACTCCACCAAGGCCGGGTGGGAAGTCCTGGACGCGTGGGATATGTTCAAAGCGCACCAGCATCACTACCATCAGCCGCATCACCAGGGGGGCCAGCTCTGCTTCCAGCTGCGCGTCACGTTGCGCAAAACGGACACCGAGGTGGACCTGAGGCAGCTGGGTCTGGGCAGGAGGGGCCGGCCCCAGCAGGAGAAGGCCATCCTGGTGGCCTACACGCGCTCCAAGAAGAGGGAGAACCTGTTCAACGAGATGAAGGAGAAGATCAAGTCGCGGGGGGAGAACGAGGAAGAAGTAGTGGAGAAAGGAGCGTCCTTGCTGGGGGTGAAAGGAGACGGGCCCCGGCGGCGGAGGAGGACCGCGCTCAGCAACCGGCACGGGAAGAGGCACGGCAAGAAATCCAAATCCCGGTGCAGCAAAAAGGCGCTGCACGTGAATTTCAAGGAGCTCGGGTGGGACGATTGGATCATCGCGCCTCTGGATTACGAGGCGTACCACTGCGAGGGGGTGTGCGACTTCCCCCTGAGGTCTCACCTGGAGCCCACCAACCACGCCATCATACAGACGCTCATGAACTCCATGGACCCCAACAGCACCCCGCCGAGCTGCTGCGTGCCCACCAAACTCAGCCCCATCAGCATCCTGTACATAGACTCGGGCAATAACGTGGTGTACAAACAGTACGAGGACATGGTGGTGGAGCAGTGCGGGTGCAGGTAGCGCTCGCTAGATAAACACTTCAAAAAGATGGGTCCCAGGTTGAAGAGAAAGTCAAAAGGGATGCACACAGAGGCGATATCTGCTATTTATTCAGTACAGTCACAATCATTCACTGCCTTAACGTGCCTTGGTTCCCATCCGCGAGTTATCAACAGGCTTTTGTTTCCCAGAGACGTGTCCATATGGCACGCGGGATGGGTACAAGGCGGGATGGGAGCCCATTGACTGTGCACCTGTTCGTGCCGGGGCCAGGGGACAGTGGGCTCCGCGCTTTGTTCGCAGCTCTGCCGTGTGATCCTGCATGCCAGGCCAGACTCTTTTGGGTATGTGCATCCAGGCCGTAATTGCCACCGTCCAGCTGGAGTCATTACAGGCCCCGAGGAAGTGCCTGTTTTCCAATAAAAGGGTCTACCAAACACACACTCTCACACACACAGACTGGTCCGAGGAGAGGAGATAAGATGGTGGTGCCTTCAAGAGATTTGTTTTGCCTTACACGAGACCAGGAAAAGGACACAGAATCAGACATTGTGCCTGTTGTAAAAAAAAAGTAGAAAGTAAAAAAGCACACATACTGAGGCGAACTTCTTTACGCAAAAGTCTGCATCTTTACGAAATGCACTTCCACAACTGACTGAGGACCCGCGGTCAGCGAGAGTTCGTCTGATAAGGACGGAATTATAAGAAATAAAGACTCAGAACGAGACAATATTTAAATGCACATTAGCTTTGAATGCACTGCTGTTCATTTTTTTTCCTTTTTTGAGCTGTAAATATTTTGTACAGTCGAAAACTTTACTAAGTGCAACGATTGAAGAAATGAGAACGCGGCATTTCTTTGTAAATATACAAAATGCACTCAAATCGGTATAATTTCTATTCTATTATTATTTTATTATTTGTGATGTACAGAGTTCCATGATAATCATATATTTCTTACGTTGATAAGAGTAATTTAAGGTGTATTCGATATTTTTTTTTGCAGAGGGTGGAAAATACCATTATTAATGTCTACCTCATAATTACATATAGGATCTGAGTTTTGAGGTGCATTCAGTTAGAGTGTAAAGAGCTTTTACAATGATATATAAGATCATTTATATACATATATTACTGGATAATATTCCACACCATTACTGTACAAATAAAATTCAAAACAAACTCTAACAGTCTGGTAATTTTGATGATTAATGTTACTTTGCAACCTTGTTAAGCATTTATTTTGTAGTGTTCTTTCAAGAGTAGGCTATATGCCTCTTCCATAAAAAGCAAAAAGATAAATACTAATATTTGGGGCATTTATTTACGAGGGATTAAGAGGCCAAGAAACTATGTTTTTAAATTAACTAAATAAGATGAGAATTGAATGAAGGTTTGATCATTTTATATCTTTTCGTTCTTAAGCTTAAACCTTTCTACCTCATTTTCTTTTAAATTTGTCTTTAAAAAACACTGACTATTGTAGAGTTCTTAGTTCTGAAACCGAACATTTCCTTTTATAACGTTCCCTGGTTCCTCTTATGATAATCTCTAACACCATTAAACAAGCCATTGTTTTTGGAGCAGTTTAAGACTACACTTAATGACATTACACATTAAAGATTTAGCACTGTAGTGTTTTGATTTGGGAAGAGATGTCCAAGTTAACACATACTTTTGACTTTGCTGGACTACATGTAGACATTTAGAAAATTGGCATATAGTTGCCCTTTAATTTTTTTAATAAACCCCAGAATAAGAGTTGAACAAAGGAGATGATATCTTAGCCCTAAGGTACGCTAGCTAATCTATCCTTCCCCTGTGTAAACAGTCTCTCATCATAGACAACAAATGTCATTATTCAGTGACTGGCCACCATATAAGCATATGGTGACCAAGTGGAAAGAAATCCACTGACTGACTGTCATTGATATGGCACTGAATGTACAAACCCCAGCTATTTCCCAATGAATTAGCCTGCCTGGGTCAAGTTTACTTAACACTTTAATGTTTCCCAATCTGTGGATGTGAAAAAAAAAAGTTTGAAAGAAGGGATTGCTTCCATATAGGCTATCGACCTTGGCCTGGAAACAATTAGGAAATTGCTTTGAAATGTTATATGTTGTCCAGGCTCTTGTACAGTATCATGTCACTCCCCACATGTTTGCTAGGGGGAAACAGAGGATGCTAAGTGCACTCTTTAGCGGTCGCTGCAAATGACTGACACAACAACCATTCCCCTGAGTAATACCAAATGGCCCTCCAGGCTATGTGTCTGGAACACCATCGCCGGGGTGCTACCACCAGCCACGCTATCCCTGCTGCTCTCAAGTGGAAATAGTAAACCATATTAGGGATTGCATTTCTTTTTCTAAAATAAGAAGGGTTTTCTGTCTTTGGAGGATAACCACACTATGCTGGGAATCTTGAGGTACAACTTAAACTACAGTCAAAACCAATTGGTCGTTCAAGAAACAAGGAGAAATATTCATAAACCTATGGGTTCCAAAGTATTATTGGTGGTATATTGAGGCCAAAGAAAACCATTTGTTAACCAACATTAGAATGAACATAACATACAATTCGCTATAGCTGTGGATAATATTAAAAGTGTTCTGTCTGCTATGTACAGCATCATGGGAGTCATACATAGCATTTTATTCTTTGAATGAACAAACATAATTTGGTACAGAAAGGCCTTTTTTAAAAGTACTTGTATCAATCTGACATGGGTTCTGTTAGCATACAGTTTGCGTCTTTTGAATTATTTCAATGCAAAACTGGTGTTCTGTTAGTCTGATTCAAATGAGACTCCAATATATGAAGTTATGGGGTCTAATGGGAGTTACCATTGAGTTTTGCATCCAATACAAATCTGAGAATTGCATCCATGAAGAAGCACATAGAGCATTTACCTGTTTCTGTAGTGATTGCTATCATTTGTACATTGCAGCTATTTGGTTTACAGTAAACGTAACTAGTTTTTCCCTTTTTCCTGTTAACATATTTCTTGGGACACAGAAAATAGTTTGGATGTGTATTCCCGGTGATCCCGTTTCCCGGGGATTAAACTTCACCACAAACCATTAAACTGATTCTGGCTCAGATATACTGTAATGTTTCACAATCAAGTCTACATTTCTAAGCAGCTTCACGCAAACCTGTGGGATAAACCTTTCCCTTTTTGATTTATATTTATTTGACAAGTTCCACGGTCTGGTGGGCACTGGCCTGGAGGTGAGAGTGAATGTGAAGGGAACAGTTAAATGGTGATGAAAGGGAAAGGAATGCTTTGTTTACCCGCTTCAATCCCTCACTCTCAAGTTAAATGTTCCTATAAAGTTCTTCATCACAACCGCCTTATTGTCCCCCCGCTCCACGGCGAGAGCAGAGAGGGCGAAAACAGAGAGTCGTGTTTATTTGAAACTCGCTCCTAATATATTAGTCTAAGCAAACCCAAGTTGGCGAAGAGACGGGTACTCTTGGTCAGAAACACAAATAGTCTTGACACCCCACATCTGTGCGCAAAGGCTTCGCTTTTGAGATCTGTAAGGCTTGCACGAGTGAAGATCTAAAAGGTGTTGCTCCGAGTAGAAGTTCCCAGGAGGCTCTCTGAGATTTAAAAAGAAAGCCTTGGCTGGAATGAAGATGTAAATGTTCCTCGAGCATCACCTCGCCTTTATCAGTGATGTCCTCATCAGCGATAGGAAGGGCATAAATCAGCCTGATCTCTTAGACGGCGAGGACCTCTAAGCAAGCAGAAATATGTTTAACTGGCATTAAGGAGCATTAGAAACTTGAGCTGAGACTTAAATCTCATGCTTTGATTTGTGGCATGGATACAATTTAAATGTCGAAGAGAAAGAGCTTGGACGTTGCCAAGGCCTGGCTTTTAAACTGCTACTGATAAACTCCAGCAAGAACTTATTTATTTTTCACTGACTGTTTCTCTCTTCACTCTCCCTCTCTTTCTTTATTGCCTCTAGAGGGATCCCACCTTCTCTGGTTTCTTCTATTTCCCACCATTATGGTTTGCAGATACTGTAGTTCCTTCTATTATAAAGCTTGACACCTTTCTCCAGCCAAGAACTCGGGCCAATGCGAGATGGTGCGCTAAACAGATGCGGAATAAAACCTCCCAGACAGAACTCACGTGTCCACGCTCACACGCAACTTTAAGGAGTGGATCTCCCTGCATTTGTGTGTCTGCGAGTGTGTGTGAGGGGACAGAAGGGCAGCAGCGTACACAGATGGACAGATGAGTGGTGCAGGGGAGCAGCAGATGCCTGAAGTGACCCCTACTGCCGCCTTTCATTGAACCACTGGCTTCAACACAAAGGCAGGGGCGGCTCCAAACATTAAATACACTTGCTTGTGCCTTAAAGGCAGAGGTCACTGCTTTTTTTCTCTCTCCTGCAATCCATTTTTAATCCAATTTCTACCCTTGTAAAACAAAAATGAGTTTTGTAGAACTGTTTAGAAATTGCTTGCCAGAGGGGAACATAATTGTAAAACATTTTAAGAGAATACTCCATGGATAAAATTACCATTTGTAAGTGAATTTTCCCCCTGTGTTACCTTGAACTTTTAAAGAAACATTGTTTTTCTCGAATGCGTACACATTGAACGAAGAAAAACGTCAATGGGTGCCTAATTATTTCAAGACATCCCTTTCCTACTTCTGCAGTATAACCTGTATAATAAGTATAATTTACCCCATGGTATGCTTACTTCTAAAAAAAATGAATTCTTCCTAAAAACGTACTCTACAAAACACTTCTGCATTAACGCTAGCACTGGCATGAAACTTGTCCGGACATGTTCAAAGGATATTAAACTCAGCCCCCTTTACCTAAATTCATCAAGCCTTTTTCCTGTTTTTCCTTTATTCTTGTGTACCAAGGAGGCATGCGAGAAATACAACGTTTTCTTCAAGAATTCAAGGCAATATTGGGTGAGTTACTGATATACAAATGGTCATTCTGTGGGTTGAAGATAAAGATAGCGGTGGTTGGCTGCACTTGACAGCTGCTGTTTGAGCAGAAACAGAAAATAAACCCTAAACAGAGCAGCCATGTAACAAAAGATCAGGGTGTTTCCTCTATGGGTGCATCTGCCTGACTCTTCCTCTGCCTCTTCCTCCTCTCTCCTCCCTCCTGTCAGACCATACGGTAACAGGAAGAGAGCAGACACCTCCACTTCTCCACAGATAACCTGCTAATTGCGTTAAACTCACTCCCCAACTGGGAGTGTGAAATGTGAGAATGAAGCCATTGCTGTTATTCAATTGCAGTAGAACCTTGCTCTTATGTGCATTTTTTATCTTTGCATTCAATTCTTTAATGAACTCAGAAAAACGACTTTAGTCAACTTGATAGATCTACTTGGAATACCTGTCCAGAAAAGCTCTTTTGTTCTGTTTATTTTCTAAAGGAATGTCTGAGGGTGGCCTTTCACCCCTCCTCATCCATTTACTACCCCTGGTCTATGTTACAGATGGTGACCTGGGTCCTTCGCCATCCCTGATTAACAAGTACACCTTCTGATTTTCCTTGCAAACCTCTCCGCAGAAAGGAAGCTTGTCTTTTTGTGTGCTCGCAGTTCATCTTTTTGTGTCCAGCGTCTCTGTGTGAGGGTCTGAATGAGCTTGAGTCAAAAGCAAATTTACTCAGTTAACTCTGACAATGCTCATGTTTGGGAGCAAGGCGAGGACATGACCTCGTTGCCAATTCACATCCGCGGAGGCTTGTGGAGAAGAGAGGGAGGGTCGTTGACCAACAGGGGCCTGGACAATGGCATTCACTGGTCTCAGGCACTCGGCCCGCGGGACGACAAATTAGGTCTAAAATGCACTCTTTGAAATGCAGTGTCAATGGAAAAGACAGGAATTCAAAAGGGAATCAGCTCGATAGAAGCCTAGAAATAGCAAAAATATAGAAAAACCAAGAATCTCAGAGTAAAATGTGCAACCCTTTCTGCACATTAAATGCTCATATATTTGTATAAAACATGCAGAAACTCAAAGAAGGCCCTGTGCAGTAAAGAGCATTTCTGCATTGTAAAACGAGACATGTAGGCAAACAAACATGGGTCAGGGGCAATGAGGCAGCAAGACAAGGATCTGACTTTGGAAGAGGTGGGGGTGCTGGTTGGGTGGAGGAGTGTAGGGCG